AAATAAATAAATAAATAAATAAATAAAGCAACCACGTTGTTATGATGTTTATCCATTTTCAAATCCTAAATGTAAAAATGTAATGATTTTTGCTTTAGCTATTTAAATCCAAAATATTCAACTCAACTCAACTCAACTCAATAATACTTTATTATATAAAATATGGTTTATATACTGTTTTATTAGTGAAACTGGAAATGAATGAATGAAAACACCTCTGGAGGCACCATTGGTTTTACTAAAATGTACAACTCTTGTCATTTCTTAATGATTTTAGTTCAAAACCTTGGCAGTATAGGCTTTCAAGAGCTTCAGAGCAGTCACTCTGATCATGTGCACTGATTTGCCGCAAAAAAAAAAGAAAAAAGAAAAAAAAAGGAAACAGTTTACTGCAGCTGATCACTGGGTTCCAACCACTCGCCTGGCATTACACAGTCCTTAATCCTATGACTTTAAATCTGAATGAAAGGTTAGTTTTGTTCAAAATGTTTTGCTCCTTCTCCATTTTTCACAGATGTTACAGAAGCAAATGACACCAGCAGGACTGAAACTTACAGTCCTGTATGTTAGAAACAGAAACAAGCCAGATAACTTGCTCAGGATGTCTTTGTGTGTTTCTTGTTCTCACGTGAAAAAGTAATAATTCATGTCCACTTCACATTGATCACACCAAGAGGTAACTGTGTAACATTTGTTTTATAAATCATCTAATTGGAAGATAGTCTCTGTTAAAAAGGTGTGAAAAAAGTGGCTCATCCAAAGAATTACAAGGAACTTTCTGAACAATAACAATGCACTTTAGTCAAAAATAGGAACATTATGGTAGAAACCTTTAATGATGCCAAATGCACCTGCTGCATGAATCTTTCTTAAAGCCAAAAAGTCATTTGGGATTATGTTTTAATGCAACGTGTGAACTGTATGCGATCCAAGGTCAAAAGAAATACCAAAGCTGCTGCCAGTCTTCATTAAGGTCACCGTGGAAAACACACACCTGTCATTATCAATGATTTTCTGTTTTGGTGTGGTTGTTTTTATTTCCTGTGATTTTCTTAGCATTCACTTTCCAGCCATCTGCTGAACTTTGAGTCAAACTTCACGACCCGGTTCTGTCCACTTACACCTGTTTCTGTTGTCATCAGGCTCGAAGTTCATCCTCCTCGTTTCTCTACAGTCTGGACTGTGCTGCTGTGTTTTTTCTCCTCCGTGGGTTTTGTAATTTGGTTGTGTTATATGTTTTGCCAGGTGTTACCTCTTTAAAGTTTCACTCCAGCTTGCCGTGTCTGGTCTGGTTCTTGGGTCCATCTCCTCCTCAAAAACAATGGCTTCTGTGCCTCTCACTCCCTGACAGCAGTGTTCATGACACACAGAGTAAAAAGGAAGCTTCAAACACTGACATCTCATGGTGGTATAAGTATTTTTCATGTTTTTTAATGTAGATTTGATAGTATGAATGGCACTTTTCGTGTGCTTTTGGATTTTTAAGGGGACTGGAGAGGATAGAGAATCAGCTAAACTTTTAAATCAGCATCAAAGTTTATAAATAAAAAAATATGTTGGTATTCATGAGAGAAATTCCATGATTCTTTTTTAGTTCACTGCATTTTATTAGGGTTTAGCTATGTGCATCTTAAATTATGTAAAATAAAGCAAAGTAATAATAACTGCCTTAACCATGTGAGTTTCTGCACCACCCAAATGAATGCTTTTACTTCAAACTAAGGACTCTTGTGAAACATTTTGGGCTCCTCCATGGCTAGAAGGGACGACATTTTCATGGAAAAACTCAAATAAAACTACCGGTGATAATATTTTGATGATTTAATACAGTAAATTCTTTCAGATAAAATGAATGCTCATGATGGTTAGGGAGCATGTGGCTCATGTTTCAAAAGCAGTGCAGAAAATCCATTAAGACTCTGAAAATGATCTGTGTCTGCATCTTTATTCACCCGAAGGGGAGAGATGAAGGATAAAATCGAGTTATAAAATAAATGTGATCTGTAAAAAAAAAAACAAAAAATAAAAATTTAACTGTTTAAGGTGTGCTTTTAAAATAATCACTTGAAGATATGTCTGCTGCTTTTTATGCTAATTTTGATCCGAGAATTTCATGTTTTTAAAAAAATTGATGCCATTTTGAGTGTTTTTAGTCAAAATCTTGAAATAACGTCATGCATGATCACACATAACATCACTTGATCTTTCACAATCTGTTAGTGCTTGACGTACAAACATACAGATAGGCAACTACTTAAACAGCTGCCTTTCATGGCAGCAGAGAGCTGATGATCCAGATTAGCAGCAGCTGCAGTCAGGCTGTTGACCAATTAACGAACCAGCAGGAGCAAAACAGTTGACAGACACACAGAATGCCTCAATCAGGCAATTTGTCTTCATATGAATCAGGTTTTTTTTCAGATGAAACAGCTGCATTGTATTTTAACTATTCAAATAAAATGTTCTTTAAATGTTGTATTGTGTTTCTGGATTAATCTACATATAGACCGCTGTTTAAAATGGTCCCTGGTCAAAGCAGAGCCATGTTAACCTATTCTTTATTGTTACAGTGAGTCTGTTTGAGATGGTTTTAAATGCATTTTAGTGGTTGTTCAGGTTTTTTATGAACCTGTAATGGATTATTTGACCTCAGGTAGTCTGATGGGACACTTTTGTTCACACTTTGGTGGCACATAAGTAGAAAAGACACCAATATATTGTACTCAAGTAAAAAGAAAATTACACTGTTGAAATTTTTACTCAGGCACAAGTAAATTTACTTGTATAAAAATCTACTCAAGTAACAGTAAAAAGTAGGTTATTCAAGTTGAATCTGAATTAAAGTTGTGTAGTTACTTTTTTACAGCAGGAGGGCATCGATGGAATCATCGTTCAACTATTCAGCACACTTTACACAAGGAGATGCTGTATGGGAGAGTGATGCAGAGGAAGACTTTTCTCTGCCCACATCACAAACAGAGCTGCTTGAGGTATGCTAAAGCACATTTGGACAAGCCAGCTTCATTTTGGCATAAGGTGCTGTGGACTGATGAAACTAAAATAGAGTTATTTGGACAGAACAAGGGCCGTTATGCATGGAGGAAAAGGAAGTGCACTCCAAGAAAAACACCTGCTACCTATGTGGTGGTGGTTCCATCATGCTGTAGGGCTGTGTGGCCAGTACAGGGACTGGGAATCTTGTTAAAGTTGAGGGACGCATGGATTCTAATCAATATCAGCAGATTCTGGAGACCAATGTTCAGGAATCAGTGACAAAGCTGAAGCTGCTGAAGCCGGGGCTGCATCTTCCAACAAGCCATATAACTGAATACAAGAAATAAAGAAGTCCTGTAAAAACAAAACACAGATCAAACATTAACATATCTTGTAACAGTGGCGGATGTAGGATATTTCTGAGTAAGGGGCCATCAAGGGGCCACAATATTCATAGAGGTGCCAAGTTTTGTGTAATGTAATTTTTTTTAAAAGGTACCACTTTACAATAAAGCCCCCCTCATAGATGGCTTTTAAAGAGTTTATAGATAGGTTATTAATTAATCTGTAAACACTTTAAAATTATTAATAAGTGTTTATTATGCAATAATTAAGGACGAGAAAGAGACAAAATTGTCCAGTTTCATTTATTAATGATTTATGAAGTGTAAACTTTACAAATGAATTAATAACATATCTATAAACTCTTTATAAGCCATCTATAAGGGGAGCTTGATTGTAAAGTGGTACCAAAAATCTTGCACAGTAAATTCTCCTCACCAGAGTTCATACATTTTACTGTACATAGATAAAATATTTTCAAACACCCAATATGTGAGAAAGTCCAGTCATCATTTGTCAGTTGAAATACCTTTTTTGCAGGATTGTTCAGATTTTAAGAAGAGAAGAATTCTGTGAGCTTGATTCATTCTGGACTTTACAATTTGACTCATCAGCGCAACTAGTGTTTGAACATGGAACTGCATCCACCATCATCACTCCCAGGTAAAGGACAGATGAGTGACAGGGCAGGGGCACTTCAGGGGGCCAATCAGATTTCAGCTGGGGCCAATGCCCCTGTGGCCCCGCCCCTAGAACTGCCCCTGTCTTATAATTAAATGAACCATAATATTTTGAATCACAATTTAACCAACAAAAAGTCATAAAACTGCTCACAATAATTAAAGTATAACTAAAAGTCAAAATACTTTTACACACACTAAGAAATGAAGTGTTGAATTTACTCAGCGTTCCACTAAATGGAGTTGAGTAAAATGCTTTACATTTACTCAATTGGGTTTAGTGCAGTTTACACAACTTTAGTAATACCAACACTTTGTATTTTTAGCATGCATACACAACTGTTTATATTTAAATTTGTAACTTGGTATTAAATAGTAACTAAAGAAGTAAAAGTATATTTTTGTTTTGAATGTAACAAAATAAAAGTAAGAGTTACGATTTAAAAAAAATACATAGTAAAATTACAAATCCTTAAAATTTACTTAACTACGTAACAAAAAGTTACTAAACCTCTGACTAACAGTGCTTCTTGTATTTTGAAAAATGTTGGTTTGAATGTTAGGTCATAGGAAGCACCATCTAAACACGTTTCTCAAACCAGAAGAAAATACTTTGTCTCAAATGTTGTGTTATAATGTTGCACTTCTTCCTCTCCTTTTTAGGGCAARAATATRTAWGAAAWTGGTCAAAGCAAAATTTTAAAAGGTTTCTGTGAAGGTAAATGTGTGTTTAAAGACGTGAACAAGAACTCAATCAGGAATTTAAATTCAAATTAAGGAGTTGTCTTTTACAAAATAAATGAACTGCTGACATCTTACGTTTAGCATCTGTTGTGAAAACAGGAAGTAGGGAGTCAGTTCTGCAGTGCCTCAGTTCTTCTTGTAACTGGTCACACATCATTATGGCTCTTCCTCTGAGCATTCCTCTCATTCTCTCATTGATAACAGGTTGGTCTCACTGTGCTCATCATATTTATGCATTTTATTTCTTTGTGTTGTTTCTATGTGATGTGTCATTACTTGTATTTGCAAAAATCTACAAATGTTTGATTTCATGTTTTATCCTTGGCATTCACTGGGATACATGTGCTCTTTTCACAGAAACTGACAGCATTTATACAATCAGTAATGTATCAGTGAAGGCTGGAGCTTCAGTCACTATTCCCTGTTTTTACAGCCAACAACACAGAAATCATGTGAAATATTTATGTGAAGGATCTAGGTGGAGTTCCTGCTCATATGCAGTTAAAACAAACTCACAGTGTGATACAAGAAAGTACTCAATCTCTGATGATGAACATCAATCAGTCTTCACTGTGACCATAAAACAACTCACAGATCAAAATATTGATTACTGGTGTGCTGTGGAGATTAATAATGGTGCTGATGATGGACGTTACTTTCATCTGTCAATGACTCAAGGTAAGTAATATTTTTGTGTGTGTAGATTTTGAGCCTTTGATAAAAGTAAACACAGGAAAAACTAATTAAGGTTTTGATTTTACAAGTAAAGTGTGATGTGCTGTATGGGTGGCTGACATTAACTGGGTGAAGGTATGGATTAAAGGAAGTCTGGTTTGGCTTCATGCAGATCACTGCTGTGGTTTCTGGCCAGTGTGTTTATTTTAATAAAATTCTTAATCGTGATAAGTTTAGTGTTCAATTCATGTGGCAGCTCAGGGATGCAAGAGGTTCTAGTTTGAATTCCTGGATCAGACACTCACTTTGTTTGAAGCTAATCCAGGCTGTTGTAGCACCACTGCAAGGTCTGTGAGAATTCAGAGAGGTGAAGGATACAAACTGTTTTTGTTCTTCTTTTGTCCCCATCAAGGCACACCCAGTCTGTATGTGGATAATCAGGAGGAGACAGGGTTTTTTAATGAAAAAATTACCATAAACTGTTACTACACCACCTCTGGAGAGATGAAATGGTGTAAGATGAACAGCAACTGTGTGACAGAAAGATCAGGATTAATAGATGGAACAAGAGTAAACCTGAACAACAGACGTGACAACAGATTCACTGTGACTCTGAGTGAACTGAGTCCAGAGAGCAGTGGTTGGTATTACTGTGTCAAAGGAGACTTCCAGATGCCAGTACACCTAAGTGTTACTGAAAGACCTGCAGGTAAGTGACTACATACAGTATTCTCTGAGTATTACCTTTATTTGCACATTATAACAGTGGTTCCCAAACTTTTTATCTTCTGACCCACAAAATATTCATGGCAAAAACTTGTGACCCCAAATATTACTGGTCTGAGTACACGAACTTCGTTAATAATCCTAAAAACACAGGCTTTTTGACAATCTAAACCGTGTACACACAAATATAAATACTTATTTATACTTATTTTGTGTTTTTGTAATAATTATAGGGAAAATATTACATCAACAATTATTTTATTACCCTTTAAATTGATTTCTGGAGATTATCCAAGGTGCTTCATGACCCATTATTGGGTCAAAGCCCAACTTTGGGAACCAAAGTGCAGTGGTTCCCAAACTTTTCAGCTTCTGACCCACAAAATAACAGTAGCAGAGACCTGTGTCCCCAACTATTTTTGGATGATAAACATTTGTATCAAGTCAACAAAACATGGGCATAGTAACAATATTTTTTTATACATTTATCCATTTTAAAAACACTAACCTCACTCCTGTGTAACAACTAAGGCAAAATGTAATTAATTCAGAGAATCTTTTCAGGACCCCACCTTGATGTTTCGGGACCCCACTTTTGGTCCCGACCCCAACTTTGGGAAACACTGCATTATAAGGCCCATGGCCAGTACTGCCCCTTAATCTGCTTATAAGCACTTCAGCTGAAATTCATTAATTGCCCACAGTGGTCTACATTCATCTGGAGAGTCCTGGTACAGTGTTGTTTGCCACTGAAATGTCCGTCTGTCTTTTTTTCAAAATATCTCATTTATCATTGGTCTTTTGTTATTGTAACTTACAAAACTAAATCAATGGATATACATTTTCAACTAATTAACTTTTGGAGTCAGTCCAGTTCCAGATACATTCAACAGCTTATCTCCATTAGTCACTACAAAAATGTCAACAATTTTGCAGATATTAGGCTAAAACCTGATATGGTTGTAGCTGAGAATAAATCCCAACACAAACTTTGAGCATGACATCCTGTGATGTCACTTGAGATTGTGCGTTAGTTTTAAAGTTTGATCAAAAATACAATAAGTATCTTTAAAAGAATCCAATGCTGTTGGTTTGGAATATGTAATATAATATTAATTTCATAGGTAGCAGACAAATCCAGTCTTTTGTGCGACAAAATGACGTATTTAGTTAAATTACATTTGTCTTTTCTGCTAAAAAACAAAGCTTTCACCAAACTTGGATGAAACTGCTTGATCAAAAATAAGGATGTTGCTTTTACCTAATACAACCCCAATTTCAATGAAGAGATGTTGTGTAAAACATAAATAAAAACAGATTAAATCAATTGTAAATCCTTGTCAACCTATGTTTATTTGAATGCACTACAAAAACAAGATAATTAATGTTCATGTGGATAGATAGATATTGTTTTTTTTTCACTCATTTTGATTTTGATAGCTGAATATAGGTTGCAAAGGGTTTGGGGTTATAGTTAACACAATGACAGCTTGCAAAAAAATCATAAAAATGAGGCAGTGATGTGGTGGAACAGTCGTGGTTACCTCTCTCTTTTTGATTTGACAGCAACATTTTAGAATATTTTCTTTTGTCTTAATAATTGTAGAAACYGCCTGCAGATGAATAGTAAAAGAAAGAAAAGTACAACTGTAATGTTTGTTTGTTTTTCCACAGAAATCTACAAAACAAAGACTGTCAGTGAAGTATCAGTGAAGGCTGGCGCTTCAGTCACTATTCCCTGTTTTTACAGCCAACAATACAGAAATCATGTGAAATATTTATGTGAAGGATCTATATGGACTTACTGCTCATATGCAGCTAAAACAAACTCACAAAGTGATTCAGAAAAGTACTCAATCTCTGATGATAAAAGTCAATCAGTCTTCACTGTGACCATAAAACAGCTGACAGAACAAAACACTCATTACTGGTGTGCTGTGGAGATTGATAATGGTGTTGATCATGGACGTTACTTTCATCTGTCAGTGACCCAAAGTAAGTAATGTTTTTGTATATGGATTTAAAGCCTTTCTGGCTCCCTGTCAAATTTAGAATAGAATTTAAAATATTACTCCTAACATACAAAGCTCTTAACAACCAAGCTCCATCATATATTAAACATCTTATTGTTCCATACTTTCCTAACAGAGCACTTCACTCTCAGACTGCAGGTTTACTTGTGGTTCCTCCAGTTTCTAACAGTAGAATGGGAGGCAGAGCTTTCAGTTCTCTGGCTTCTGACACTCTGCTTTTGATTACACTTATTGTAATTATTGCAGTACAGTCGTGTTACCTCCCAGCATATGCAGTTTATATTAATT